ACAACATCTCTAGGCTGTTTTCTTTGACGTGCGACCCATGAATTGACTCTAAATATTTTTTCAATTTCTCCATAGATAATTTCAGGGTCGCAGTCTAAAGCCAAAGCCAGGGCAGCTGTTACCTCTTCTCTCAGTTTCTCCTGTACGTTTTCCTGAAGGCCTCTGATTCTTATTGCATGTTCCATTTCTCTAAATTGCGACATTACAACATCACTTTGAACAATCTCTATAGTTTCTTCTACTTTTTCCATTCTCTCCTCCACCCCTTCCGTTTTTTCTCCTATTTCCTCCACCCGGTTCTCTATACGATCCATATGAAAAGCAAAGCCCTGAAAGATTTGAGACATATTCTCACATAGTTCATCATTCTTTTTAGCAAGCAACTCTTCTGTCTCCACTCTTACTTGCTGTACAATTTGTTTGGACATCTGCATCTGCATCTGCATCAAAGAATCCTGTAAATCCTTTAAAGTAATATAAGGTGGTGAAGAGGGTGGGGGAGTTTTAGCTCTCTGTTGCGTGGCCTGTACAGCTGGAGAGGAAACAGCTGACTTAAGTGCTGGAGGGGGTACACCATGTTTAGAAGCCATTCTGAAGCTTAAAAAAGGTTTTAATATACAGTCCCAAACAGTTAAAAATCTAACAAATTTTTCTTTAATTTTTCTTGATTTTTTGGAGATTTTTCCTTAATTTTTGAAGATTTTTTACAGTTTTAACAATGTAGCCATCCACAACCGGAAGGAAAGTAAAAGTATCTCTTTAGCACAAAGAAGCGGCAAACCGCAGCCATTTTTTTTTCTCCAAAAAATAACTTTCGATTTTCAATCCTTGAGAAGAATGCTTAAAAGTCTGAGTCAGAGTTTTAAGTTCTTTATAAAAGATCCAAACTTCCTAGTTAGCTCCGTCTGTGAAAAATACTCACAATTTAATTCGAAAAAAAATCAGAAGTGGAGACGGCGTCTGGCTTCGCTTGCAGCGAAGACGCCCCGATCTGCGGAGAAGCTCTGAGCTCCGGAGGAGTTCTCACCTTCACCTCGCTGGGAACACCCAGGGAGGCTAGGGAACTCGACTCCTACTCACGAGCAAGCTCTCCTTCTCTCCTTTGCCCGGAGAGAAGTTTCAAAGCGCCCAACAGCTGATAAACGCTGTTTTAGCGCTTTTTACGCAGTCCTGAACAGGAGGCTGTCAAAACAACCCCCTTCGGCAGCCGCCGAGCCACCGGAAGTCCAATTTTTGACTAAATCTTCATCAAGATTGAGTTTAGTATCGAGAGAGGCCTACTGGTTGCATGCTGAACGCAAAAATATATGTAGAGAAAAACTTCATTTCATGCAGGTGATATCTGCACCTATAATTGCCCCTCAAAGCCTACCAGGAACTAGTGCAGTTTTGCAAAGCAAAAATTCTTTCAGTTGGATGAAAGAGTTCACTTGTACCTGTGAATTTAACATAAAATATGAGGAAATGTTTTTGTTCTGACTTTCCTACTGCTTTTACTTCTGTACTGTCCTTATGAGGGATGATTTGTTTCATACCAAATATAGAATAGTTGGGCCATCTCAAGTTTTATACCATTGGAACACAGCTTATTTAAAATATTCTATTTAGGGCAACTGGAAAATGGAGCAGAATTGTTCAGAGGTGTTCCAGAACTAGGGCAAGGAACAACAGGTTTAAATTAAAAGTAATCAAATATTGATTAACATCAGGAAAAGTTTCCAAGTAATAATAATTTTTCAACAATGGAACAAACTGTGTTTGGAGAATAGAATAGAATGGAATGAAATGGAACAGAACAGAATAGAGTAATTTTTACGCATGCGCCTAATATAAGCCGTACACCCCAAATAAGCCCTAATTTTGGGGCGAGGTACAAGCATAAAAATCAAGCTAGGGCGGGAGTGGGTGGATGAAGCTGCCCCATGCGCCCTATACCCGCTTACCTTAGGACCCCTACAGCCAGTCCTCCCACGCCCCGACACCTGTTGAGCTACTGCTTGAGTTCTTTGGCAGCTAAGGTTTACACCCAGGAAAGCATGGGTGATATTATATCCTTAAAATTAGGCATTCTTACTTTAATTTGAGAGCTATCATACAATTCGAGTTTGCTAATTGTATACCTGCATTAGAATGGAAAATAGTTTTCTCCTAGACAATTTAATCAGCTTCTACAACATTTGTAAAACACTTCATACTTAAATGCTGAAATAACTGTCTATCTTAAGTAGGTACCTTTATTTCCTGCTCCAGAGTTAGATTTCTCTCCAAACTGTATTCTACCATTTCTGTGGTCACTGGGAACTTGTTTGGTAGTTCTATGCATTTTTTAATTAATACAGGATTGCAGCCATTCAGAAACTGATATCCAAACATAAAATCTTCTTGCCAGTGCTGCATTACATATTCTAAGGAGAAAAACAACAACAGATTGGTTTAGGAATTCAAGAAAACACAGAAGGAGACTGAAAGTATTATTAAAATAACTATATACCAGGGCAATTTGGAAATAAACCTCTGGTTATCAATGACAGACACTCACAGATACAGAACATTTATTATACACATTAGAAAACTACAACATTATATTACTTTTTGACATAATCACCATTCAAATTGAGGCACTTGTCGTAATGTCTTACAAGGTTTGAAATTCCTTAGTAATCACTTGGCGCCAAATCTGGGCTATGGGGGGGGATGATAAAAAACATCCCAATGGAACTGCTTCAAAAATTCTTGGGTGTTGGACTTCTGGTGGAGCTGCCCACGCTGATGGCAGCTCCTTTAGGCTGCCAGCCCTGAGAATGCGTAAAAGCACACGGAGGCAGCATTAATCAGCTGTCCCGCGGCTTGGAAACCCCCCCCTCGGGAGAAGAGGGGGAGGTGAGTTTTTCCCTCGGGTAGAGGTTGAGCTCACTGCGACCCTCTTGTTTGGGGGGCGAAAGGTTTGAGCTCCCTCGTAGCCCAAGGCTTTGTTCTCCACACTCCAGGACGACTTTGCTGCGTAGGAGCGAAGCAAGACGAGGCACCCACCTCTGCATTTCAAAGAGATTTGTGAGTACTTAAAGCAGACGGAGCCGACCAGGAGGAATTATAATTGCAAATATTGGAAACTTTAACTCGGAAAGAATAATCTTCTCCATACTGTGATTTGTTTTAAAGAAAAGATGGCGCTGGAGTGTTGTTGTTTTTTTGCTTGAAAGTACTGTGTTAAGATATAAGCAGGAAAATGGCTTCAAAGCGTGTTGGAATTGTCTCTAAAACTGCGATCTCATCCCCTGTAATACAGCCTGCAGCACAACCCAAACCAAGATCACCCCCTCCCTCTCCCCCTCCTGCATTTACGCTTAGAGACATTCAAGAGGCTTTAAAAACAGCAACGCAGGAAATTAAGGGGGAAATGGCAGAGCTTCTTGAGAACAAGAACAAAGAGATAAGGGAGGATATTCTGCTGGCTTTTCAAGGGTTAGCAGCACACATTGAACATCTTGACGACCGCGTGGATGAGGTTGTGGAAAGTACTGAAAAATTACAGGATAGAGTTGTTAAAGCTGAAAATAAGATTGATATAATACAAGATGAAGCTATTATTTCACAATACAGGGAGATGGAATTTGCATTGCAGATAAGAGGGTTAAAAGAGGATCCATGAGAAGATTTGAAAGGGGAGGTGGTCAAAGCGATCGCTCCCATTTTGGGATGTGAACCTGAAGAATTATTAAGAGATATGGAAAAAATATTCAGAGTTAATTCATGGATTGCAAGTCAGAGGAATTTGCCTAGAGATGTGGTTATCTATTTTTCTAGGAGATCACTCCGAAATACAATCATTCAGGCTTTTTATAATCAGAGATTTCAAATTGCAGATCAAAATATTATAATTTTAAAAGAAATACCCCCAAAGATTCTTAGAAGAAGGAAGGACTTTGCTTTTTTGTCTGAGGAGCTCAAAAATCACCAGATTCAGTTTAGATGGGAGATACCTAGCGGAATAGTGGTGAACTTTGCAGGGACACGATATAGACTCAACACTATTTTAAAGGCAAGAGATTTTTACATCCATGTCCTGAAAGCAGGTTCACCACCATCTCCACGATCTAAGAGAGTGGATGAAAGGCTGGAAGAAGGTGCAATGTCATTGGTAGGAGGAGAGTCACTGCAGATGGAGCCTATTGAACAGAGTTTGGAGGTAAAGGATTCAAAGGAACAAAGAATGACTCGTGCAGCGTATAGACATAAAGAAAAGGAACAGAAGCAGAAAGTTGATTCTGGTTCAACAATACAAGGTGTGATTACTACAGAGTCTGTGGGGGGAGCACGCCCAAAGAGGCCAACAGTTGATCTTCAAGCAGTGCTTCAGAGGCTCCAGGCCGTTAAGGATGGCAAAGTTCCTGACCTGGAATGTTAATGGCTTAAATTCACCACAGAAAAGAAAAAAAGTATTTCATTATTTGAAGCAACATAAAAATGACATTGTTTGCCTGCAGGAGACTCACATTGTTGCGAAGGATCAAAAATATTTGATGAGCTCTCAGTTGGGATCACATTTTATAGCCTCAGCTTTAGATAAAAAGGGGGGTGTTGTAATCTATGTAAGAAGAGATTTATCGGCTAGATTAATTGAATCAGATATACAAGGAAGATATGTTATTATTGAATTAGTGTTACAAGGCAAGAAGATTCTTATTATTGGATTATATGCCCCTAATCAACAACAACAAAAATTTTATAAGATGTTACATCATAAATTAAGTCAGTTGGATTATAAATCTGTTATTATGATGGGTGATTGGAATGGTGTTTGGGATTCAAGCAAAGACAAGAAGGGATCTTTTAAAAACTCTTCTAATCATTCTAAACTACCTAAAGCCTTTTTTGATTTGAAAGATGATCTGGAATTTAGAGATATTTGGCAAGAACAGAATCTGGGGGATAGAGACTTTACTTTTTTTTCAGATAGACATCAATCATTTTCTAGAATTGACTTTTTCTTAATTACTACAGATCTTTTTTCCAGGGTTAAGAAGGCAAAGATCTTTCCTAGAACATTGTCGGATCACAGTCCTGTTTGGTTGGAGTTATTTGCTGAAGATGGGAATAAGAGATCTTGGAGACTGAATGAAAATTTATTTAGATATGAGGTGCTCTCGCAGAAATGTAGAGAACATTTGAAGGAATTTTTTGCTTTGAATATGTATAAAGGTACTTCGATGGCTGTGGTTTGGGATGCTAGTAAGGCTTATATGAGAGGGATTTTGACTCATATGAATAATGGACATAGGCGTAAGCAGATGCAAAAACGTAAGGAGTTGGAAGAAGAGATTAAATTGAAGGAAAAGGCCTTAATTTTGAACTCATCAGATAACAGATTAAAGGTCTCTATAAATATGTTGAAGGAGCAATTTAACATGTTAATGGCTGATCAGGTTGCAACCAACCTGCGTTATGCGAAACATAACACTTTTTGCAATGCAAATAAGCCTGGTAGATGGTTGGCTTATCAATTACGGAAGAAGCAGAAAGCACGTATAATTGAGAAAATAGAATATAAAGGTAAAGAGGTATATCAAAAAGAGTTTTTTAGATTTTTACACAAAACTATATGCTAGGGGAAATATACAAGCTTTAGACATAGATAAGTATTTGCAGAAAGCACATTTCCCTAGACTTTCAATTGAGCAACAAAAGGAGATGAATTATTTAATTACTTCTGAGGAAATTATTTCGGCGATTAAACAGTTAAAAGTGGGTAAGGCTCCTGGTACAGATGGATTATCAGCAACTTATTATAAGATACTATCTGAAGAGATGATAGAACCATTAAAGGAACTTTTTAACAGTATTCAGACTGGAGGAGAAGTACCTCCGTCCTGGAGGAGGGCTTATATATCCTTGATCCCAAAGGAGGATCAAGATCTTACCCAGCCTAAGAATTATAGACCTATATCGTTGTTGAATACAGACTATAAGATCTTTGCAAAAGTATGGGCAAATAGATTAATGCAAGTTTTGAAGCAAATGATTCATACTGATCAGGCGGGATTTATAACTGGAAGATATATGAAATATAATGCAAGACACATTGTTAATTTAATTGAATATTTGGATAAGAAAAACCAAGTCCCTGCGGCTCTGATATTTTTAGATGCTGAAAAAACTTTTGATCAGTTGAACTGGAAATTTTTATTGAAAGTTGTTGATAAAATGAATTTTGGGGATAAATTTTTATGTTCTCTTAGGGCTATATATCAACAACAAACGGCACAAATTATAATTAATGGGGGATTAACAGAGGAATTTAAAATTGAAAAAGGTATAAGACAGGGATGCCCATTATCGCCATTATTGTTTGTTTTAACATTGGAGATTTTACTGATCAAAATTCGTGAATCAACTATAATAAAGGGAATAAAAATAAAACAGAATGATTATAGGTTGAGAGCTTTTGCGGATGACTTAGTTATGACATTATCCCAACTGATTCAGTCGGTTATAGATCTGATGAAAGTCATAATACAGTATGGGAATGTCTCTGGTTTTAAGGTAAATAATAATAAGACTAAAATATTATCTAAAAATATGACTGTGAAGGAAAAAGAAATGTTAGCTAAACTGACAGGTTTTGAAATAGTGAAAAAGGTTAAATATTTGGGAATATATATTACTTCTAATGTAAAATTGTATAAGAATAATTATGAGAAATTATGGTTAAAAATACAAAAGGATTTAAATAATTCAAAAAAATTACAATTGTCTTTGTTGGGGAGAATTGCAGCTGTTAAAATGAATGTTCTACCAAAGTTTCTTTTTTTGTTTCAAATGATACCTATTTTGAAGAAAGATGCCAATTTGGAGGAATGGCAGAAGGGTATTAATAGATTTATTTGGGGGGGGGGAACCAAGAGTTAAACTGAAGATTTTACAAGATGCACGGGAAAGAGGAGGACTTAAGGTACCTAATTTGAAATTATATTATGATGCGGTGGTTTTAACATTGGTTACTGATTGGCTTAATTTAAGTAATAAAAGTACACTTCAATTAGAGGGGTGGGATCTATTATATGGATGGCACGCATATTTAATTTATAATAAAAAAGTGGACAAGGCTTTTAAATCTCATATTTTAAGAAGTGCTCTATTGCGTGTTTGGAAGAAGTATTATTATAAGTTAAATTATAAAATACCAATTTGGGGTATTCCTGGACACGTGATAGAGGGAGTATCTAAGGGTGTGAATTTGGATAGGATCTCTTATAAGGAATTACTTAGATTGGAAGGAAATGATTGGCAATTAAAATCATTAGAGGAGCTAAAGCAAGAAAATGTTGTACAATCTTGGTTTCAGTATACCCAATTGATGGCCAGGTGGAAATTAGATCAAAAGATTGGTATCACATTATTGGATGAG